TACTTATCACTGACTTAACGCCTCGACCTGTCTGTCCAACTATACGTTCACAAAGGTGGGCATTGAGTTGTCGAACACAGTTTTTAACCTATTAGTTTTAACTTTATTCAGTGGACATTTGTATTGTTGTAAACAACTTTTATAGTTAACTATTATAACCGTGCATTTGAGTTTGTATTTTAATTTCCTAATCATGCGGAACTAACAGACAATACTGATTCGTCGACTGTTTTTCGATTTTTGTGATTTATTTTTTAATAATATAATATCATAATAATCTGATGTTTCCACAAAATATGTTAAACGTCTCGGCATGTATTAGTGTGTATAAAAATACTATGTCACTCAAAAATATTGTGAGTAAAAAATAAATTGGCTTTTTGAACTGCAGAGTTAAGTTGATTTTCTACCCTGAATTTTAATCTCGTCACCGAGTTAAATACGTTATTTATCTGTTAACTTTTATCTTTTAACCGAAGGCGATTCGATCGAATCGAATTAACTCGTCACGGCGAATGGTTTTCACCAACTCGTCCGACCTTGCTATATACGACCAAAACGCAAAATATCTTCCAAAAATATGGAATACAAGACGCGCAGTACCCACGACGGGCAGGCAATTACACGCCAAAGTTCAGGAGCGGTGCATTACCATTGCCGCGGGACCGGCGGCGGCGGCGGTGGCGGTACGTGATGCCCCGCAAACCGCGGTAACCCCCGCGCGTTACCGATCACCCGGTATAATATTTATAATGGTATACGGTGACGTGCACAATACGCGCACCGACCGGTAGGGTACGCCCGCCGGCGGTGAGACGAACGGAGAGTAATAATAATTCACACACCGACGACGACGACGACGACGACGACGTAGTCGCAGTCGCCGCCACCCGCCCGTCCGTCCGTCCTTCCGTCCGTCCGTCATTCGCGGTGGCGGCGAGCGGTGAGGCGGTGACGCGTCTGCGCTCGAGGGGCGCCCCTTTTGTGAAAATGCGTGTGCAAAACCCGAATATAATTCAATCACTGCGGGCGCGCGCGCGCGCGCCACCAGAACTATCCGTCTCCGTGCCGAGCAACCGCGAGCACCCTTAAACGCGCGCGAGATGGAGCGCGCGCGCGCGCGCTCGAGCGCAGGTGACTGCTGCTGCTGCTGCAAGCAGTGTTGTAGAGGTGTACGCGGACGTTTTGTTCGCGGCGGCGGCGGTGGCGCGCGGCGCGCGGCGGGACGGTTGTCGTGTGCTCTGCCGGTGCGCCGCCGTCGCGTCGTCCCCCGAACATCTGCCGCCGGCCGCGGAACAATACCGGCGGCGCACCACCGGGCCGGCGGCGTTACACGTCGGTGCATTGTGCGTACCGTAGATTTGCGGGCGCGCGCGCGCGCGCGTGTGTGTTAATATTTTATATTATTATTACTATTATCACTATTATTGTATAGCACCGCGGCGAACAGCACGCGCCGTTATTTACTAATAATATAACACGCACCCCCCCGTGCGCAGATGTTGGGACACCCCGCGCGAGGGCGGGGTGGGAGGACGGTTATACCTACGCGCGCCGCGAGAGGAGTGCGTGCACCGTGCAGCAGTGTGTGCGCTCACGCGCGCGCGCGCGCGCGCACTTTGCGATCCAACGCGGTTACCGCTATTGTATGGGTATCAGCAGCGGTTTATTATACAGATTGGTTACCGGTTCAAACTATATATTACAATATATATTACTGTGTCTGCAGTTAGGTTTATTATAATATTATGTCATATGTTTTATTAACACCGAAATAATAAGACGAATTAAATAATACAATTAATAAAATAATAGTTCATTGACAATTCAATGTGATTATTAATTAAATATAGTACAAATAAAATAATACGTAGTTCATAGACAATTTAATGTGATTATTGACTTCGCGATCCAACGCGGTTACCGCTATTGTATGGGTATCAGCAGCAGCTATCACAGAGATTTTTTACCCGTCTAAACGATATTATATTATACTGTCTTACAGTAAGTTTTTATATTTTGTTCCGTCTTATTGGAGCACGAACAACAATTTTTATAATTGTACAGACCGTGGATTTGCCAGTAATGTTCTCAATGCAAATGCTAGTAAAATATGAAAAAATATGCTTTTTGTGAATGTATATATTTTCTAACATCATCTAAGTAATAATAATGCGTAATATAATTCAAATATTGGTTCATTAACATTGGAATTTGATCATTGACTTTACGATCCAACGCGTTTACTTATAAAGTTATAATCATAACAATATAATAATATTATATTTTACTATAATATGCCGACAGCAGAGATTTTTACTAGCTCATTATTTTCATTTCTAATAACGAACAAACACTCATAATCGGCTCATATTATGAGCTGTCCACATAGATTTCACAATCTGAGCCTTATTTATATATGATCGAAATTAATGTTACGTGTTTTACTCTACTGAAGTACCAACAATTATTATAAATACACCGTGGCTTTATATTCTCTCAAAATATATAAAATGTTTAGCTATTATTAATTTAACAATTTAAATAGTGCAGTAATATGCATATATAAGCTTGTAATATTATGCTCTAAAAAGGTTACTAAATAATTATGCTCATGCTTATCGTAACATATTATGTGACGGTACCAGCTTGTCAGACATTCACTTTAAGTGTGCTAATAAAAATTGAGTTTTTTTTGTTTTCTAAAACGTACTAACGTCAACTTTTATTTTTAAAGGTATATTATATTATATACCTATAAATTAGGTAGGTACTATAACAAATCGCAATTGTTTTTTTTTTTTTAAATAAAAAATATTGATTAAAAAAATAGTGCTTCCCGCTCAGTTGGATAATGTTTCGTCTCGTTCATATTACTATTTAATGCATCATTTTATATCCCTTAAACGGGTAGGTGGTAACCATATAATGTATTATTGTTGTCATGTTTTGAATCTCGCGTGTCCAAAGACGGAAGGGATTAAAGTTGTTGAGTACAATATATGTAATATGTATACGTGTTGAGATAACGTGTGCGTTGTCTTCGCGTGTGCTAAAATAAAAATGTGTATAGTCGTCATAAATAGATAGGTAATCGATTTCAGTGAGCTGCAGACTGCAAAGTAAAGCCCATTACAATAAAAACGATTTCGTAGGTACCACGAATCAATGTAAATATCAAATATTTACCAAATAAATTAGAGCCAGTATTTTTATGCTCAACATAAAAAACTATTCAAATATTTTATAAAAAAATGCATTTTAACTGCAACAATGTCCTTCAAAAACGATCCAAACATTCTTTCTACAACTCTTTATTCTCGAGCAAACGAAACATAACGAAATGAACGCTATACGATGTACCCACAACATCGACTGACCAATTAATTTTAACTGGTTTGATCCCTAGACGCACAATTGCCATTAATCGACGTTATCGACGTATCGAAATCATAAATAAAACGATTTGAAAAATCGAAGGTTGAGAATTAAAAGGTTCCATGTCATGAAAAATTAATTAATTGCGACTATATATTATAAGTTCCCTGTTTATTCTGATAACAGATAAGTTCAAGTAGATATAAAAAGGTTAGAACTTATAACTTGAATGTTAGATAGTATAAAAAGGTTTAATTTTTTTTATCAATTATACGATAGATTTCGCTGATCGATAAAAATATAAACTACAATAACATCGTGTCAAAGCATCAATAGCCAATTTATATTTTGTTATAATAAAAAAACAACACATTATATTGTATACAACATCGATTAATTGGGAGAAAAAAGTGGTTCTTCTCCTAGGGCACTTTCTTGTAGGTTTTTTCTTTTTTATTTAGTTTCTTGATGCCCATCATTGATACTAGCCATACTCATTAATTCCCCGCAATGCATCTGACAATAATTATATTTATTTACACATCAATGTGTGTTATTTGTAATTAATGTAAAATTATCATAGCTCTAATAATATCGTCGAAGCTCATCATCGTGGACCTATATTATTACTATCCACAGCACACGAAGTCAAATGACTCACAACCTAAGGACTCGTTAGAATTTTTGATAAGTCAACATTTTCAGAAAAACGATCCGTTAAATAATAATTTACCGTATAAAATGTCGGCAGATTGTTTTCATTTGATAAAACAAAAGTTTGTAGTCAGTGCAGATCGAGTGGGTATTACAAAAAAATAAATCTGAATAGTTGAAAAATACTGTCATCTTTAAACATAATTATAATGTCAAAAAATCGGATTTTCAATAACTGCATTACTGCAGGAGAGAAAAAGTGGCATGCTCGGTGAATCACCCTGTATATACCATCAAATCATTTATGTATTACGAACGATACAATAATGTAATAATAATATAATGCACCTACCTTTTTAAAAAATATAAAATTATTATACGTTGTAGGTACGAGATTTCGTTCCGAACCGTTAACGCGCGGCGTGGTAACGTAATATTATTGTAATTATTATCGCGACGCATTACATTTTTTTTTTTTTATCATTTTCCCTCGGAATTTGTGTTTTATTTTTGCGTCGCCCGTTCGTTACACGTACTCATTGTAGGAATATAAAAAAGAGCACGCTGCTGGTAGGTACCTATACACACATATTTTTATCAAAATACAATCGTTTTATGTGCGAAGCGCGTTCACATAATATATTGCATCGTTCATTGCGGGATTAGCCTTTTAGCAGTTCGATATGTTATTATATTGACTTATTGTTACCTAACGAATCGAAAAGAAAAGTACTCGAAAGACGTGATTTTTTTTTAGATGGTCTAACGTTATTTTCACAGTCGAGTGTCATTCTGCGCATATGATGACCGTCACGTGCGGAATACTGTGTGGTCAGCAATTAATAACCGTATAATATGACAGTTAATATTATAGTATATATAATGGCACCGGTTGATGGGGTGTTTTACCGTTCGAAATCGGATGAATAACTAAAAATTAGGTACATTTTTAAATAGATCAAATGCGATTTTTCTCTTCCGGCTGTAAGATTTTTAATATTTTATTAGGTCTACCATTTAGGTAGGTACAGTTTTGTGAATATAATGCAATACAGCGTAATATAAATGAATTCAGAAGTAGTCACAATATTATGGTAAATGATTTGCTGTTGCGGAGAGGACTGACCAAAAATGCGCTACACGAGTGCACTAGAATGCGTTAATTTCAGTGCTGCAACTGCAAAATTTTTTTGAGCTGATGTCAAGTCACAGTCGGTCGCCCTTCCGTTGAGCAATTCATTAGGTATTCAATACAAAATTACCAATTTTCCCATTAGATGATATCGATACTTAATCCAATCGTACTTAGTTTACGACAAACATGTGGGTAGGTGACAGGTGGTACCAATAAGTCAAAATTATTTAGTAAATATAATAATACACCTAAAAGTATAGTTTGAAAAAATATGATTGTTATCGAAAAAACTAGCCCACGTGCCTAGGATCTCCCTTGTTGAGTCGTTAATATTTTTCTTCTTCCATCTTACATCTTGCAATTTCTGGTATCGTTTCACCAGCCTCTTATAAAACATCGATTTCACACCACCAAACTGCAACTCGCTATGGATCGTTAGAATTGGAGGTTGAATGCAAATCTTCGCCAATTTCTGATTTCGTAACGAGACATTTGGTTTATCCCGTACCCATGTGGTTTCCTGTTCAAATCCTAAATGCAATGTCTGTAATTAATTCGGGTTTTCATAAGATATATCATTCTTATATACTAAAAATACGAGTAAAACGCTTCTTTTCAAAGAAGAAAAAAAACTTTTCGAGGAAGTTTTTATTTCGCATAATAATGTAAGTAGGTACGTTTATCGTCATAACAATACAATACTTGTAGTTATATGTAGAGCTCGCATAACCTATACGAGAACATTAAGAAAATGGCGGATGCACGGAATTTGAATAAAACTACTGTATCAAAGTACATTACGCTCAAGTTCGCTTAAATGCAAAAAAAAAATGGTACGCACACTATTTTCGAGTTCATTTTCGACGATTTTCGTGAACATTTTTTGACGTTTTTTCCATCCCTCTATGCCTAATTGTTATATTATGCACGTATAAAGTCATTATTTTTTGTACTATTATTATAATTTGTCATGTGACTTAGATGCGTTTAAAGAAACCAAGTACCTACCTAGGTATAGATCCGGCCATCCGCAGGGACTCGACAACAACTACAGCAGCAGCAGAAGCAGTCCATTGTGAAAAATGAATAATTATAATATTATACTATTATCATTTAACTCGCACAGTGGTGCGGTTTTGTGCTGTGATATTTACATAAATTGAACGTCTTTTCCTTTACCGGCACAATGGAAAGCCCCGCAGGATACTCCACCGGCGGCCAAAGCATGCAATTAGCGATTTTCGCCATAAATTTAATATGTTTTTTTTTTCGTCGCGCTCTCGTTAAAAGCTGTATTTCATTCTGAAAAACCCAAACGTTCACATTACAATTGCGATTATACAATATAATATAGTATATATCTTACAAGGTGCTACTCTGCTAGCCTATATTATGCACGTATATTATATATTATAATAATAATTTAGTTGGTTGCAGTGGTTACAAAAAAAAAAAATAAATAATAATAATAACACGCAAACAGACGATTCTTATAATTATTGTTATTTGGTTCGGTATTATTAAGCGTCCCTGACAACATTATTATTATAATAGCGACCAAGTTCAAAACGATGTCTCGAGAACCGCGATTGAATGGCGCTGATGAAATGTTAACCACAACGCAAAAGGGACGGGCGAGGACAAAGTATTAACGTTAGTTTGGTGGGTCGAGTTAGAAGTTCAGTCGATGTGTGAATGTGAACGTTCATGCGTTATACATATAGACGCTTACAAAAGATATGATGTCAAATATTTAGCTCCAAATCAGCGGTTTCAATACTATGAGCACAACGAACACTTTCCGAGGGCGCCGTTACTCATAAAAAATTATTTATATTTTATTGTCTTCATACATATGGCACCCGAATTCCTATTACTCAAACAGTCAAATATCTAGGCCTAACTCTTGATCGTAGGCTAACCTGGGCCCAGCATACTAAATCTAAGCGCCTAAATCTAAACTCTCGTTTTCGTTTATACTCTTCTATAAATCCCTAATCAAGCCAGCCTGTACGTACGGGATTAAACTTTGGACTTAAAGTTTAAACAAAACAAAAAAGTTGACCGGAAGTTTCGCTTTTGATAGCCATGAGATATTTTTGGTTTTTATTTTTTTTGTTTTTATTTTTTATGAAAGCAGTAACATAGAAGTTATAGGCTGCTTGACTATATACATGCACAACGCGAAAAGATAATTGTTAGGTTTATATTTCAATTGAAAAAGATTAAAGCAAAAGGAAATTAAGGAAATAGCTTAAGACGATTAGGTAAAGCAAACGAAAATTCAAATTTGAAAAAAAATCACTTTCATCGTCATCAAACAAATATGTGAAAACATAATGTTATTGCAACTCATATATTAGAAAATCCTCAGTTTTTAATCTCCAAACTAAATCTGTGAGATACCTAGTTAAAATCACCGCCTTTGGGATGCAAGTAATGCGCACCTTTGCATCCAGTAAATTCGGGTCTGCACTAGTGTGGGCAGACTATGCATTTGCATAAACATTTTGAGGTTTAAATATTATTTCAAATTATTATGCTGTCCTAGTCCTAGAAATGAACATCGAAAACTGTCAAAAAAATGTTTAATATTCAGATTTCACGTATTTGTGTGAAATATATTATTTTTAGGTAGGTATGCAAGACATAAACACTAGTGGTTGGCAAAGACTAAAAGACTATAGCCTTGAGTAATATTTTTGTCTTCATCTGGTCCTGGGCAAGTGACACTCCTGACGGGTATACAGGACGGTTCGCCAAACATTCTCATCGCCACCATTTCTCCCTATAATAATGAACCCATCCGAAATCTGATTTTCGTAACTTTTAAGTACATTCAAGGCTGACATTTTCAACTCCTTAGGTTTTTTACACCGATTAAAGAGTGTCCCGTTGGGAAGCAAACTTTTTATTTTTCAAACGAGAACCGACTTTTTTTACTGTAAATTATGGAGCAAATATTATGATTCGTTTGAAAATGTTTATGAATATAATTCAAAACTCTAACGAGTAGAATTTCGGTGTTATTGAAATGTTCATGCACTAAGGGCAATGGTCTTTAAAAAAATGTTTTACAAATGTATAAAATCGATGTATTATATTTTTATATCTTACTTACGTTTTTTATAAAATATTTATAGATTGATATTAATCACAATAATTTTGAGTAACTGAAAAACTGTAGGTGCTCGTTCAAATTTTGATTTGTATAGGTACATCAACGCTTTCACTAAATCATCTGCTTCTGTGTAACTACTTATACTCATCAAGTTGTCAGACAAATCTAAGTATTTGACAATACGGTCCTCGAGGCGTCAAATAAGGACAATTTATGGACGTAGCTGTTTGGAAGTTTAGACGTCCCGGGGCGTAAAAAAATATCCTTGAAAAAACGAGTAAAAATATTAAAACATAGCGCAGAAACAGTTATTTAAATTTATTATAATACCTACGTCATACATTGATATAAAATATCAGAAAAAGTTAATTATTACAAATATTTATTCATCTTAATTTTAACGTTAAATCATTTTTTTTTTAATTTTCTCTTTAAATACCTACTTTAATAGTGGCCCATTTTTGGCGTCGTAAAATCAATAACTTTTTTTTTTAAATTGTGTTTTAAATTTTACATTTGAATAACCAATATTTATTCATTTATTTTGTACCTACGTCAGTTGGTCTTAAGCTTTTTTTAAGACGCGAATAGAGTTAAAAGCAATGGGGGTGAACACGCGCCGAATCATCCTGTATAATATAGTCGTAGGTAATAATAATAATAATAATATTATAGGCGCCATCGAATTTTACTCATACGTCATGTGGTTTATGTTTATATTACTATTATGTACTCATATATACCTACACATAATATAATATAATATGTATATTGTATATAGACGGCACATCGTGGTAACATTATCCGACGGGCTCGCGAGGGAAAATATTAAATTTAATGGATTAGGTGTATTATTATTATTATTATTATTATTATTTTATGGCAGGTGGGGCCGACTGCTGCTGCTGGCTGCTGCTGCTGTTGCAAGGTCGAAAACTTTCGATTGTTTCAACGATAACGTCGGAATAGCCGCAGCCGTGGTACCAACAACGTGAAATCGATTTTTCCTCTTTTTCCTGATACAATTATTATTACTGTTCGCCCACCAGGGTCCGGGTCTTTCCTCGTTAAGAAAACCGAAAAGAAATGTGTTGTTCAACTTTTTAACGAATTCGAATGTTAAATATTATTTCCCTTTGACTTCATTTAAATTTAATATCTGCGAAATTTTATTCATTAAAATATGTATGCAATTAGATGGAAAAAAATTCCCAAATCGTTCCAACTCTCGAAATAAAAACCCGTCCGACTTCAAAAATTATAATACTACTGTTATGCGATTATGTCGGTTCTCCGTTAACACTAATTAATAGCGACTTTGTCGTGTATGAACAGCAAAGGTTTAATTCTTGTAGTTATTAAAGTGACGGTCTTGGAATTCGATAAATATTTTATAAGAAAAAAATCCAACCTTTTAAGAGTACACTTTAATTACTATTTGAATACCATTTGGACGATACACAGAGGGGTAGTAAGTTTCCACTGATGTTTGTGCACCTCAAACGGCTCAAACACGACTTACGACACTTCAAAGGGCGAGAAAAAAAATCGAGTTATCACGACTGGATTCTATCGCTATATTTTATACTTAATTTTAATACTTATATAACGGTGTAATGACAAACAAAGCAGACCACTTTCTTTGGTGTTTAATATTATTATTTTGATGTCCAATTATTTCGTTTACGGCCGGGTTGGTAATAGCAATAATTATATTATTTATTTTTTACCGCCGACGGCCGACCATTATAGTCAGGTAAGCATTGTGTTTATTGAAACGTAATAATTATTTACCGCCTTGTTGGTATGGTCCAATTCGATCGTATTTATGAATTTTTGCATCATCTTGAGGACGAAAGCTTGGAAAAATATACGAATCCTACTTAGATGTATACCGACTAAAATAATGAAATTATGTCGGTCTTCTTGGGACTTTGTGAATTATCTGTAACCAATGTTCAAATCATATTTTTTACGTAAGCTGTTGTGCACGACATCACTGCTTCATCTGCACTATATTTTTTTTGAACACTTCGACTTCATTTGGTAATTAACGTGAAAAGTTAATTAAAATAATAACTTAGCTTTTCAGGTGATTTAAAATAATGCACGGAGTAAATATTATAGAAAACTTTTTCAAATTTTCAGGTTGTAATGTTTTTATACTAACGAGTACACTAATAATAATGTAACTATGATTTCTATTGTTTTTTTTTGATAAAGTTACATAAATGTATAATATTTTTTAGACAGTTAAGAACAAAATAATCTTTATGTGACCCACGTAGGTTATAATTAAAAAAGTAGATTTTTTTTTATACTGATTTAACTATCTAATTTATTTTCATATAATTAGTGATCGACTTAGAAGGCATACATTATTTATTACGATCATTGCCTTCCAACGATCATAAAAGTTCCTTTAATTCAACTAAACTTTAATTAACTTTTTTTGGTTATTTGTTTTTATTAACTTCAAAAAAAACTTAAGACTTACATTTAACTGTTAGCTCGGTAACCGTCTAAGTCTAAAGGACGAGCGATCGATAAAATATACGGATAATGATACCTACTTAGTTTGCATACCGAACTGAAATAATGAAATTTTGTCGATCCTCGTTGGATTTCTTGAATATTTTTAACAGACGTTCATATCGAACATCACATTTGACATACGTACAAGCTGATTCATTACCCCCCCCCCCTCCACACAATTTAGAAAATAAATAATTTATTCTAATCTTGGTTCTTAAAGTTTTTAAGTGGGTACCTATATTATATCATGAGATATTTTTTAATCATATCGTCTATATCTGATTTTAAAAGAAAAAAAACAAATATTGATTGTTTTTTTTTTAAAATATAAATCAATGTTGTAAATAGGTGTACATTTTTAGTTGAATATAATAATCTATTTTAACTGTATATTTATCCTATTTTTGATACTAAGCAACTTTGTCGAGTACAGTACCTATATAGTTTATTTTGGACAGTTACAACCTGCAGGACGAAATTTCTTTCGGACATTTTTACCAAGATTCGCTTGAACGATCGAATCAATGTCTTTGGATATTTCATATTCACCGCCGTTAGACGGGAAGACGGAGGTGAGCGTGCTTTGTGAATAACTCTGCGTCGTAGGTATAGGTCAGGTTATTATATTATTGAACCGAGCAGGTATTATATCGTTGTCGTGATTTTTCAATCGGTATAGTTACTCGTCGAAGGTCCATTTCAAAAATGAGATAGCAAACCACTACGAACCGGCTACGAAAGGACGGTAAAAAACAAAAAAAATTAAAGATTAAAATTGTGGTGGGGGGGGGGGGGCTGTGAAAATGTACCCAATCTCTTCGAGCGATTTTTTAGTTAAACGCTGTTTGATCGAATGATTTTATGAACATATTATTATTATACCACATGAACAGCCGTCGACGACTATGTTATAATATTACAATCGTGTATGGCAAATAAATTAACTTGTTTGATGTGTCGTCGTCGCGTATTACATAATGTTATTTCCCATAATATTATCATTGGCGAACGATTAATGAAATAATGAACGTCTAGACGGTTATTATTGTTGCTGTTCGGACGAATTAATTTTCACGTTTTGTCGTAGTCGTTCGACGACTGTGTACCTAAACACGATAATGATTACCCACATTCGTACGCCGGCTAATCCGTTTCGCTCAAACAACGAGAATAATAACACGTCAATATTGACCTAACGACGTGAGTGTTTGTACATCAAGTCAATAATGTACCTACCTGCATCGACATGATTTCGAATTTTGTTTGCCCGACAAAAACGTATTCGACGAGGCCACTCGAAAGATCTCGATTTTTTTCGCGTTCACGTTGTACCTACTAATCGCGCGGATGAACGAGTGTTTATTTTAAACGTATTTTTTGCTCTCCGGAAATATTCGATTTTCAACGGCCAGTCGAATACGACAATATCATCAATATCATCGCCTGCACGTAAATCAGTTTATTCGCCAAAGGCCAATGACGTCCCCTCGGCACGGTGTAACTCCGTATTTAATATTATTGTCAATAATGACTTCGAAAAAAAAATGATGATTACGATGATGCCGTGCGATGTTTTCGGCATGCTATAGGGGGGGGGGGGTTATATGAAATATATAATGTTCAGTGCATTAGGCATTCAACAGCTGCTGCTGTCGTAATCAAAAATTTAACATTCGTGCTCGAGGCGGCACCGCGTTTCTCGAACTTATTTTCCTCTGTGCAAATTAATAATCGATAGTTGTCAGTGTAGGGTTTTAAAATTTCACGACATTTATTTTCTTGACATATTTCATTTATACGAACAAATTAAAAGTAAAAAAAAAAAAACAAGCAGCGTCATTTTTAAAAGATTTTAGTCACTAGCTTTCAGCGGTGTAACATATTTTACGAAAGTGATATCGAATAGTGACAAATAATAGTCGATAGAGATATAGCCCGAATGATGAGTGATGTTATATCATAACCTATAATATTTTACCATATTTTGTACACCTAATTTACGACCGCATTACATATAAATTAGTTAACCTCGGTTGATAAGTTGTCATTGATCGTCGATATTTTGTGAGTGTTAGCAATAATCATTTCTAATCACATTTAACTAAATTCGTTTAAAATAAAAAAAAAATACTTTTTCGGTTTCATAAAAATAATTCGAGAAGAAGAAAATGTTCGATTCAACAATTTCAAGTGGAGTATTTCAAATTCAGAACTCTAATTGTCGGCTACAACTTTTAAAAATCTAGTTGTTAGTTTTCTGATCTAATGACTTGTCGATAATTAATTGGAGCGAAAAAGCTACATTTTTCCGGTTTTGATTAAATTATGTTCTGTTGGTCACTATCTATCTTTATACACGAGCTACTAGACATGTTTTATCAACAACAATAATATCTTGTACCTATTATTTTTTAATCTCGAGTAACCAAAGTTCAAATTTTGTGGAGGAATTACTACAATTTTAGGGAAAATAAATCAATGCGCACAGGATAAAAACCTTTCAAACAATATTATATTTTAGTGAAAAAAAAAGAGGTATTTACTACTGTTATCTACTAGTAGATAACCGTGGTATTTACGAAGTGTATATGACAATGTAGCATTGATAACGCTAAGCTCTCGATGCAGGGAATTAAATTGATTATTGAATAATGTTGCAATCGCAGAAGTTGATGTAAGTAGAATTCAAACATAAAACCGATAAAGTTTTTTAGAAGGCTGGGTTCCTA